TGACCTATATTTTCTGTTTCAATTAATGAGTTTAAAACAACAATAATTTTCTACTAAGCAATGGTTTACATGGTATTTAATCTAGTTCATTGCCTGTCATGGTAGCTTAATTAGTGGTAGGGTGTTTAATATGTGATGTGGAAGTACCGGGTTTGATTCTCGTTCACTGCATCAAATCTAAGACATAAACATAGACAGTGACTGTTCCTTCACCAAACATCCAGTATTAGAAGTCAAAGTTACAGGTTTTTCAGATGAGAAGAACTGAGGCCCCATATCACAGTAGATGTTGGCACGATAAAGAACCCTCACTGTTCAATGGCCTGAGTGCCAAGTTAGGTCTAAATGTGAAGCCCTTCATGATATGTGGTGATGTCTCTACATCAGTGAAATATTTTTGATGGGATGTAAAACAGCAAACAATCAATTTTTTTTCATTATTCCTATCTAGATTGTAACACAAGTTCTGATTGGTTAGCAGGCCAGGTGTAAATTTCTGTACACCTGGCTCCAGCTTGGGTAAATAATGTGACGTCATAATGTATTGTTTCTCTAGCACAAAAAGCAAATAACATGACGTCACAATCATGACGATGCAGCGTAGCCCAAAGTAAATCTCATCGATAATTTGAAACACCATTGACTTATAAATAATACGTGTTACTAAACATAGAAATCAAATTAAACGAAACATACATGCTAAAATTGATGAGAAATGCGGTGACTGGGTGTTTTAGGACAAATGAATGATACAAGAAAATAACTAAGAAAAAATTATAAACATAAACCTTACCTCAGAAAAGCTGGACCATTACACACAAGAAATACAAAGTAAGCCCTGCAAGTAATACTGGTACTCGGTGTAACTATCAATGCTGGTTACAAAACATATCTGAGAGGGGGTAAAAGCGTTCTCTTCTCTGGACTGCCGTGTCCAAACTAACTTGCACGGACTGGCGGGTTTTAAGATCCAGTGAATTGAGGTTCAGTGAAGGATATGTACAGTAATAACATATTTAAAAAGAAGGGGTTCCTCAAGGATATTTACATGAAATTTAAAATACATTACCAAAAGTATGATATGATGATTTTAATGTGACAAACTTCAATCCTATATTTTATGACTCGGATCAATATTAATCAATAATCAAGTAGTACATAAATCATTAATATTGAGTGTGACCATTGCAGCGCAGATTATTCTGTGCATCGAGCTAATGAGTGTGTTAACTGTTCTGGGATTTTCTTCCATTTTATTATCATTGTCTAAAAATCCGGAAATACTCTTACAACATGGGGCCGCGCATTGTCCTTTTAGAGACAAGAATGAATTTTAAAAAATCCCCCTTACACTTATACAACCCATTTCTTTCAGCTGGAAAAAGGTTGAATCTTGACTTGTTCCTGTAAAATGGGAATGGATAGGGAAGTTTTCTATGTAACCAGTCCAGTTGTACGGTCATATGTTGGAGGGTCAACTGCGAACTTGTATTGCTCGCTCAAAGTCCCGCCTCCTTCAGCCTATTTCGTACCCCTGCTTTGTGGAAAGATTTCTGAGATGATAAAGACCTTTTTTTCACTGATGCATAATTTTTGTATATACTGGTATTGAACCAAATTGTAAAATTTGCGTTTCTTTTCTCTTTCAGTATATTAACCTACATCTGCTTTTATAAACTTGATTTATGAATTAAAGATCAGGAAAAAACCCTTAAAATTTTAAAATAATGTAACATGGTAAATAAAAAATCTCAGATTAAGGTTCATATAATATATAAACATATATAATTATCTCTGCTGTCGTCATTTGTTTGGTATCAAAATGCACTACAAAGAAGTACTGATCACTAACCATTGGTTACAGTTCTGGTCATTTCTATTACAACAGAACTGCCATGTGATACAGGTAATCTCTTACCAGTGGTAACAGACGCGATTCTTTCCATTGCATAAATACGGAAGCGTATTATTGCCACGTGATACTTTTTTTAAAGTTGGAAATTCCAATTTTAAAGTTGGTAATTCCAACTTTAATCTTGGCTTTTTCAACTTTAAAGTTGTTAATTCCAACTTTAATCTTTTCCAACTTTACAGTTGGCTTTTCCAACTTTAAAGTTGGTAATTCAAACTTTTATCTTGGCTTTTCCAACTTCAATCTTGGCTTTTCCATCTTTGTACGGCTTTATGCGTTATATTCAGATACATTGTAGCTGGACTCGTGTTGCCGTTTTATACATGTAAGATCTTTCATCATTTGTAGTAGGATCTGATTTTGTGTTTCATATCAAATTTGACAAGTATCCCATTCATCCAATACAAAAACAAAGACTCCTATTGTTCTATGAAGATCTTTTCAAAAACTGTCTCTTTTTTAAACTAAGGTAAACAATTTCAATTCTTTTTGTAAGCTTGCTTTTGATGAAGTTGAAGTTTATAAAGAATTTACAGATTTTATTGATTTAAAAACATTTCTTTCAGGAAACAATTAGTGCTGCATTTTACAGTCGAATTAAGCCTTCATTTTTCTAAAAAAAAAAATAAATAAATATTCTTCTGTTGGTTCCTGACATTTACTAGCAACTCCTCACCTTCTAAATTTTTAAAATCTCACTTAAATTTCTTGAGTTGTGTGTTGCAAAGAAGGAGCAAAGTAGAAGTCTCTGTTTTGGCTTTTAGCACGATATCGATCCCATTAAATTTTTATTGTGCAACTTAAAGCTATTTATCAGAATTGTTAGGGAAAAGCAAAACAAACTTCTCGAAGTAATCGAAAGAGAATATACAATACCCTGACTGTGTATGCTGAACGATCGCTTGGGAAATCAACAACACAGTCATACATCTGTCGCATTTATAGACATTTCTGAGCTTTTAGATAAAATTGTTAAAATGTGTACATATTTCAACATATCATTAGGTGTTCTGATACAATAGAACAAAATAATTTTTTATGTATTACTAAATAAACTCCTGCCTGTCTGTGTATCGGGAATAAAACTAATGTCAAAATAACTATATCCCACTTCTATTCTTAATTCTCAACGTGTAGTGTAGGGCGGGGCCGCGAGAATTCCATCGGCATCGAAATCAAGTTGTTTGACTTGCCTAAAATGCCGAGCGGTCTAGCGCACTGTTCCTGTGCTGCTAGGAGACAGATTCCGTAGGTCAAGAGTTCAACCCCGGGTTGGGGCGGAAGTGGGTATCCTTACAAAGTGAATTTCTCTGTGTTTCTTTTTATAAGTAAATTTTTCTGTTATATATATATATATATATATATATATATATATATATATATATATATATATATATATATATATATATATACGTAATTTTCCTTGGGTTATATTGTTTTCCACCTCTTGTACTGCTGATAGGTACTTTGGCAGTAGAACTTTTCCCAGATTTACTGGAAAAAAAATAAGGTTAAGATCAAAGATCAGAACACATTGATTTAAAATTTTTCATTCCTCGTCTATCATTATAAATGTCGTTGAAAAATGTAATTGTCAAGGCCAGGGATTTTCTTCTTCTTTTGTAGGAGTTTTTAAGCATCTTTGCTACACATATAAAGAATGCAAGAGCAAATTGGTTAATAAAGTCGCAGAATTTGTGCTCATTGAATATTAGAAGACCTTGTCGCCAAAGACTACAAAGATATTGTTAATGAACGGATAAACCTTTTGATATTGAAGAAATTGAGTAAATTTCTTGTAAAACTAAAAATGGAAAAATCATGGGATGTACATTAAATTGAAGTAAAAAGTAAGTATTTCAGATACTTTCTAAGTTCATATTGTCCTGTCAACTTGAGGAAAGCCTTTCTTCCTTATGTTGAAAGATTTGAACTCGGCGCCAAGAATATCCATGAATTAAGAGGCAAAATATATTCTATCTGTCTTGTCTAACGTGTTTAGCGTTGCTCTAAATAACATACTGTCAAACTGATAAGAAGTGAATTAGCTTTTTTTGTTTTGAACATATTTTTATTGACAATCAAAAGGATAAAAAACAAGTTCTATCAACTTACTAGTTCCTCTTCCTAATATAACACATAATAATTGTCATGCAAAAAATTATCAAAAACATATACATATAAAATAGTTACATATATTAAAATAGTTATTTAAACCTACATGATTCATTGATGAACTTGTGAACAGCAGCAAAAAATCGTCTTTCGGCCTTATTACGTGTATTGTATCTTGATATGTTTTCTCTTTTCTTTGGGACTAAAATCAAAGTTTGGCATATTTTCACAAAAATACGATTCATTTGTTATTAATACTTTTGAGAAGCTTGTGTAAAAAAAATTGACAAAATATGATGCAAAATATTTTTCATCACTTAAAAAATGCAAAGCAAATATATTGCAATATAATAATACATTGGATAATAGATAAGCAAAACAGAATGTTACGGCTAGAAAGACGATCTTTTTTTTAATAGATTTTAGATATGAAGGTGTGCCTAATGGTTCTACTTATTGGCTGATTGTATTATAATCAATTTAAGACAGTGAGAAAGGACTTCTCAGTTGGTCGACTGTCTTTTTTTATCAATGGCAAAAGTTGACCATGCAAAATTTAATACGTAGAAGTTCACTGTCGTATTCCAGGTTTCAGATGTTAATCAGAATTTTACAACGATGGTGATTTCTTCAGTTTTCTTTTGTTGTGTTTAACTTATTTGAACGAAATAATTAGCGAAAGTGAAAGTATCAAATATGAAGGTAATGAACATTAACCATGCTAAGAATCCAATTAAGTAATACAAATTAGGGATAGAGTAAACATCAAAAGTGATCAATTGCCGTGCAATTTGTATTAAATATGTATGTCAACAATTAACCTAGTGATAGGCTGTACGTTTTTAATTCTAAGGTCACTAATTGGCATCGAAATTCGTTAAATATCCCACAGAAATGCTATAACATGCTTTTAATAAATATTTCAAGATTCACACCATAATTACAAACCTATTTTCTTAGACCCTTTACTATATTACTGACAGCCTGCAGCAGCTGGATAATCACAAACATTGAGGTTGTCATTGAAGTGAAGACCTCCGGGACAGTCACGTGTATAGACCAGGCTATGTACACATTCTATATACTTTGTACAGTCATCAGGGTGTGGATACATAACGCCATGCTGACCGGTGCATGTCACTAAATTAGAGAAAACATGTTCTTATTCATTTTAAATCACATGTTTTGTACTCTTTACCAAGGTTGATATAAGAGAAAATTAGTCTAAGGCATGACATTTTTTTCAATTAGATTCAATAAAAAAAATAAATACTTGTATTCTTAACATTATTGAAGTTACAAACCAGGCGCGTAGCTGCCTATACGCAAATACGCAAGTGCGTACACATCATTTTCAAAAAAAAAGGTGAAAAAAGAGATAAGGAAAAAAAAGAAGAGAGAATTATCCGGAGAAAAAAATTTCAGTACCATCCAACAAATATTCGTGTTTCAATTTATTCTGTGTCATACTGTGTCGATTTAAATTTTCAATTATCATGGCTGTATGATAAAATTTGAATTCTTTTATTTAATAACTGCCAAATCCAAATAAATCATTCATTATTTTGTCATTGTTCTATCATACATTGATATTTTTTTTAAAGACCTTTGAAAAAATAAATTTCAGCCACATCGTTGAATGCTATAATCTACTAGTATGATTTACAATACGATATTTTTTTTGTTCATAATTAAAATTTTGTATACGTGTTTTTATACATTAAGAATGATTATATGATACCAATTAATATATCGGTTAAATTTTTAGTGTCAATTATATGTACAATAAGTTTCCATGGAATATTAATTTTCGTTAAAACAATAAAATTACTCTGTCTTTTATTTCCTAAACAAAAACTAAATGGTATAATTTTTATATTTAAAGAAAATGAATGAAATATTTGGTAAAACTCCGGAGCTTCTTGGCCCTCACCAGCAGGCACGTAGTGTCAGGGGAGCCTCCCCCTACTTATTCCCAAAACCTAACCTTTTACTATTGAAAATGTACATTGAAAGGATGGACCCCCACTGTTTGTTGCACCATTGTTAAATCATGGTAATTTGGTAATGTATTAATAAAAATTTGGTTTATGAAAGATGAACCCCCCCCCCTTCAACAAACACACACAAGAAATAGGACTTCGAATTTTGACAATCTTCCTTTTTCGTCCTTGCTTGACAAAATTTTTAAAGTTGTAATTTTTTCCTGGCTGGCAAAAACTATATTACGTGTCTGACCAGAGCCCTAAAACAACTGGGGGGGGGGGGGCTCAAGACCCCCAACCCCCTGCCATTCTCTGAGTACACATCAATTCTATTCTGGCTACGCGCCTGCAAACGGTTTTAAGTTTAATGCAACTTTCGCCAAAAGTACTTGTCAAGTTTTACTAGACCATTCAAATCGGATGTCTAATTCATCTCTACAATGTGTTTGAAGAATGAGACATTTCAAGAGCACTAGTTTTTAACGTATTTTCACCATTTTCTGATAAATACAATGAGTATGACAATTAATAGATTTGCAAATATCCAAATATTAAGATCTCCTTTTTGACCTTACTTTTATTTTAATTAGCACAAGGAAACTGGTTTTTGAAGTAGAATATATAAAGGCGAATTCTGAAAATCATGATCAATAATAAGTTTCTATGTCGGATTAAAAACTGTGGTAATGTTTGAAGATGCATCTAATTTCATAAAGGTCTTTTTAATGCGGCTTATCGTGATAAATATGTAATGCGTTTGGGATGAACTATTAAGATAACAAACTGTAATCAATTATGCTTCACTTCCATTTTCACAAAATAATACGAAAGAAGAGCAAACTCGGAACCCTGAAAACATCAGATGTGATATCAGGTGCCATGGAGTGTTGTGCCTGCATTGCCAACTTATATTTTGTTTTAAAATAAATTTCTTAGTTATTTCTCTACAGAGAACTTAGAATGATTGTTTACATTTCGTGCGGTGGTTGCCCGTTGTTATGCTGATTTTACGAGTTACTGTTGTCCATATGAACCTTAAGAGTGTCCTTAGAATTGTCATAATGTTTCTAAAGTCTTACGATATAGTAAAGTAAAAGAAATTCTCTTGTGAATTTTGTTGGATGCTTACTGGAAATGGCTTTTACACACTAATTGTAGAACCAGTATGGTAGAAAATACGGATCTCCGGATAAGTTGCTACATACGCCGACATACCTGTACACTTTCTATACAAAACTTTATAAATAAGATGTCTAGACTAGATTAAAAATTATAGATTAATTAATGAGTTTTATAGATGTTTTATTAGTAAATAAAGTAATTCAAGTACATTGAGTAAAGAATAGTTTTTGAAGTTTTACGAATTACATATGACGTAGGCGATGCATCATTGCGTCATGGTATAAAAGACAAGATTCTGAGAGAGCGTTGTCAGAATCCCGCCTGGTAGATCTAGAGAACTGAACTGCACCTTGCACCTTGATCTGAGGTATTATTTTATATAAGTGAGCATTTTGAAGTAAAGATATTTTAAAATAGTTTAATTATAAGTTATAGCGCAGTAAGAAACAATTATCAAGTTTAAAAGTAATATTGAATATTTAGAAACTTAGATTTATTTCATATTTAAATTCAGCGATAGTTAAATAGTCGGTGCACTCGGGGTTCTGACCCTGGGAGACACAGAAAATTGTCTCTCCCAGTAAATTTATAGTTGTTATTTAAAGTTTGTAATTTGTTCGTAGTTTGAATTCGTATTTTATTCTATTTTAATTGGCAAGTAAAACATAGTCAATTCTTATAGTTCGTTGTGAAGTTGCACCGTTTGACTGAAATTACGACAGTGCAGCGTACTTGAATTAATTGTGTCTTTTGCATGAATGTATATGAGGTGATGGTAAATTTGCATGGCATACTTTTCATTTTAATGACATAGATTAATTTATTCTATAACCAGAAGTTATAGATTTAGGGTGGTGGACTTTAGTTTGAGCATGTACGGAATTATGTTTAGATAGTCGGTGCGCATGCACCTTACACCGAGTCACTTTGAGAATTTATGTTCGGAGATTAGACCAAGTATATTTTAGCAGAAACCTAGCACCTAACACCGAGTAAGGTTAGTACCAGTCCAGTAAAGATGGAACTTAGAACCAATTGCCTTATATCAGTAGCACCTAGCACCTGAACACCGGACACCTAGAACCAGTTTGCTCCAATATCATCGGTAGCACCTTAAGACGGTAGCACCTTTCACCGAGTATAACGCGCAACTGTGACATTTGAAAGTGATTATTATTATTGTACATTACACTGGGACGTTATATAAAAATCTGTATATTGAACTATTTATTAACTTAATAAATGTATATTTAATTGATCACACTTGTTTCATTTAAATTTACTTGATTGTACAGGTACCTTCGAACCCATTATTGTAACGTGCCTCATAGGTACCTACTAGTTAAATTTACACGTTACAATTGGTGGCAGCGAATTTATATATACTTTAAAACCCGAAACGTTACAGGAGGAAAAAGCATCTCCTGTCGATCGGTCACATCCGCTGTAAACGATCGGTCCCTATTGGATAAACGAAGTCATTCGTAGACAATTCACTATGCCGAAATGGCCCAACAATTCGAGTTAATACAGTGCAATTGAAGCAGAAATAAAATCACTGTTTTTGATTTGTTCTTGGCAATAATGGCGGTTTTCAGTGAAGATTTTAGCTTCAAATTAGTCAGTTCATTCTTTAAATCGATTTCATTCACGATAAAGAAAATTCTAGACTTAAAAGATCATAACAAAAAAGTCTCAGTTTCAATATTAATATATTATTGTAAATTATATTATTATACTATCTATTTATAGCCACAATATAATACATGTATATACAAACGGAAATTGTTTATAAATCTCGTTGTTAACTGGATTTCAAGCGTTAATCAACGAAGGGGTAATGGTTATAAATATAGTCACAAAGACCCCTTCAAATAATATTGTAAACAATGGTTGCGACAGTTGGAGCCAGCTGTAAAACTAAAAGGGAATAAATTTGTGTAACTGAACCGGAAAACTTAGAGCACTCAATAGGTGATTACTTTTCTAAAGACAAGAGAGAAAATGATGAATTACACACTAGGAGAGGAAAATGCTGATGTAATAACATGTTAAATCTGGGCATTTCGAATTTTTCTGAGACAGAAATTCCTTAATGTAAATTTTGTCGTTAAGCAGTCTTCTTTACCTATTTTCATTCAATATAATGTAACGATTATAGAAGTTTTAAGTGGTTGAAATGGTTTGATATTAACCAAAAAAATTTCAGTATTGACCGAGGACATACTATAAAAATGATTACTAGTAAATGAATACCACTATTGTTACTACTACTGATGCGTCCACTTTTAATCATCTTCCTGAAGTGTGTCTCGTATCAGCTTTCTATTCAACTTGATGGGGAAATCCGACAAAGATCGACACATTCATTACTTTTTTAAAAAGTTATAAAGCATGAAAAACTCACCTTCATTTACACCATTTTTGTAAGATTAATGTTTAAGAAATGTTAAAGGCAAGTAATGAAAAATTGTTTAAACATTAGTGTGATTTGAAAACAATTTGGATAGTCAAAAGTTAATTAATGGATTAATAAATATTATGTACATTATGAAATATATTTTACAAATGAGTCGGATAGAATGGTTTTATACATTTCATTAAGTCTATTTTCTTACCAGTTGTTACAGAGGTGCTGATTTGGAGCACAGAAGTGGTACTGATTTGGAACGTGTCCGGTTTGTACATGTATGATCTACAGCTGGAACAGTTTTTAAAGCTACAATCGTTAAATAGGTCTTCTCTGTGGATTCGACAAATAAGATTACTTCTATCAAATGTAAAAATAACGTAGTCTTTCCCTGCTCTCTCTGCAGCAAATACAGCACACATTACATTGGACGATACTTTAGATAGTTCCGCTATACTGTTAAGACAAACACTTCCTCTCTTCTCCAGGATCTCAGTTAGAGAATTTTGCCGAATATTGTCACGTGATACCGACAATTTTATAAAAATCACAAACAAAACCCTCCTAGTAATCCCAAAACGAGATAGCATTTTCAGATATTTGATATTTTGATATTAACAGCATATCCTTGAAAATGTTTTTTTTTTTTCACCATTTACTTTAAAGTAAATTATTTTCATCCAAACCTATACGCTAGCGATCAATTTTTCATTACTGCAGTTAGGCTTATGAATATCCACTTCAGTGAAATATTAAAATCAATAACGTTCAAAATGAAATAATTTAAAAATCAAAATACATGTGCTTACAACGTTTTTCATTGATTTGAACATTTTTCTTGATAAATAATCATTGGAATGGAAGAAAAATTACATCGACTTAGATTGTGTTCTCCAACACAAAGAGAATGAACGTATGAAGACACCTGATATGAAATTAAGTATCTAAAAGTACTATGTTTAGAGTGAAAAGGGATAATTGGGGGGGGGGAGGGGAGGTTAAAGGAGAGTGGTAAGGTTTAAGAACATAAAATCACCAAGGGGTAGAGCCCACTTCATAGCTCCACCACATCCGTCTTTGATGAATCAGTAAGTAATCTACATTTAGTAATAAATTCTAATACTGGTGAGACTTATGATTCTTGTAAGGTCAACAAAGTGAAAAGATATACAATGTATTACTCAATTTGAAATATAATACGAAGGAAAATACCGGTAAAATAAAGCTTTCACAATGTTCTTAATGTTGACAAAAAAATTAAAATTCCAGAGAAATTTTCTATAACTACTAAAAAAAATTTCTGTGCAGTATATCACGAATTTTGATAAAACGTTGTCCATTTTTATGTTTTGTCAGAAACATGCATCTGAGAAATTTTTTTTTTAAATGGAGAACGTTAGACCAAAACATTGACTTTAAAATTGCTTATCAGATATCTAAAAGTATTCTCTGTGAAAAGTAGAAATTTATGAAAAGATACAGAGAATGAATTAGAAATACAATGTATATTTTTGCTTTTATTCCACAGTAACCAATGAATAAATTCGAATTTCTTCCTTGGAATACTTGTACATTACAAGTATCTTTATATTTTTAGATTTCAACATAGAATTGCTTTAATTAAAATTCTTCTAAATTAACGACGAAAGTTCTTGCTTTTCAAGACGTTGTTACCATGGTAATGTATGTTATAGCTGTTTTTCAATTTACTTTTATCATCCAAAGAAGACATCAAGTCTCCATCTTGTGGAAACAGTCACTGTCCTTATTCTGATTCGTGTCAAAAGTAAAGAGACTTTGAACATGTTTAGAAATACTTTTTCTTTTAACTTTAGAGTATGTTACTCTATTAACCATAAAGCAACCAATTTTTGCCTATTTTGCCTGAGTCTATGGTAGTAAATACCTTAATCAAAGCGAGTTTGAAGAAATTCTGTGGTAATACCCGCCACGGCTTCCTATTTCAGAGAAAGTATTAACAGAGAATGACCCTTTTCAATTCATTCATGCCAGGGGTGAACAAAAGAACACAATGTCTCAAATTGTAATTAAACATGGTCTTCTTTTTCTTGATCAGGCTATATCAGATGATCAATATGGTTCTATGTCATCCAGGACGAGAAAGTGTTTCATTGAAATATGTTTCAACAAATGTAATATTCAATGCTCAGATTTATAAGATCGTAAACTACAGATCGACTAATAGTTTCTATGTAAAAAGCTTAAATAATGGGGGTTTAATTAATATACATGTACCTTTATTCATCATCAAATCTTTTAACCATTATTCAGGCTCCAACTTGATCAATGTTTGGATAATCAGATATATATATATATATATATATATATATATATATATATATATATATATATATATATATATATATATATATATATATATATTAAAATGAAAATACACTACATTTACTTAAAGACAGGGCTCAAATATGTAGAAAATTTTAAATCAAAAACTCCCTTTAACATTTGTGAAACCGATTGGAAATGAATAGTCAAGATTCAGTCCTGATTTTTATAAGTCAATTTATTGTAGTATTGGCGTGATATTTTACCATAATCTTGCAATATGTTTAAAAGTTATAAATACAAGAACGATATATCTGCGTGCAAATTTTAACAAGCAAAGTTGCTATGACATAAAATAAAACCAAACCAAAATTTTCCAATTAACTACAAGCCTCTTATCAGCAATATTTTTCATAAGCTCAAAAAAGTGCAAAAAATGGATAAATTCTGGTTCTGTTGCATCGAGAACGAAAGCAATTCTTTCAACCTACTGATACTTTAATATACACATGTACTTGTAATTGCACTTAACTATACCGTTATTATCTTGTAGCTGTTTATTATTTATGTGAAGCATTACTATGTTATAGTTTGATGATTATGATAAGCGTACCTAAATATTACAATTTGACATGTTATTTCAAACTAAATGTAACATTTTCCTATGTGCTTAACTTTCTAAAGCCTGTCCAGCTGTCGTCGGCCGACCAAATCGTGGATATTTCTCAGATTTTGAAGATTTTTCACACAGAGTTTTCTCTTGCAGTATGAACCATGTTTGCAAAATGAAAAATGTTTTAATTCATGGTTACCATGGAAACATACGTAAAGAAATTTCCTAAGCAACCAGCAATTTTTCAACTTGGATGGATTAAAAAACCTCTTATCTTTCAGGCTAGAATTTAATGTGAATACTAGTTGATTTTCTTTTTATTTGCAAATCATTAAATTCTGAGAACCCTCATATATCACCTACATGCCTATTTTGAATGATTTTTCACAGAACTGTATTTAAATACTTTTCCTATACAATCCAATGTCAAATACATTGTGCTCTCTTCCTTGTCCTGTGGACGTAGATTGAGAAGTCTTGATTCTGCATTGCCTGAGAATGCATGCAATGAAATGTGAAGAAAACAAACGGTAATCCTGTTCAAAAAGCCAATTAAACAATGAAAATTGAGAGTAAAAAAGGACCTCTAAAACATCAAGGTGAGTTCAGGTGTCATGGAGAAGTAAGAATCCCCTGTCAACTGATCACAGCCGCCTTGAGCCCTCTGGATCGATTGAGTAAAAAGAGTAATCGGTAGAAATTCAGCATGAAAGTAATGACCTGACAATTTGAATTAAATACTATGTCAAAGTTCTCTTTAACAACAGGTTGTTCTTGCAAAACGTTATCTTGTTTCGACCATAGACTTTGGGATGTTGCTTTAAACGAGATTGTTGATATCTGCGTAAAATGCATATAATGTATGGAAACTTCTTCATATTTTGTGTCATTTTTGGTCTAGATTCTGAGATAAAGATTTTTAATTGACCTCCTATGATTTCACTGCTACTCAAATATCTCTTCTTTTCATTAATTCCCATAAGGTACCCAAAGGTGATTTCTGGCGAGTTGGTTGATGTTGGCCCAGTGACTCTGGAGAAATAAAAAATGCTATAACGTAAATGTACGATGGACAACCGGAGACGAATATACAGCATAAGATTACCAGTTTTAATTAAAATTCACGTCTTTTTACAATATAAGAAACTCTATTTTCTTCTTCTAAATCTGTAAACAAGGAACTCTTGATTATTTCTAAAGTAAATAGTTTATTAAAAAAATTTGAATTTCAAGGTTTGTACAAAAGTGCTCAGAAGTATCTATTTCCCTGTAGATCTTCATTTAACCCACTATTATACATTTTTCAGGTTGCATATAATCCAAAATTCCCAAACATTTAGTTCTGAAAAGAAAAAAAAATATCAACATTTCTTCAACTGAATGGAGTTTTTAGCCTTCTATTGTCCGTCTTCTTCCCAATCCCCCTAGATGAGTTTATGTTATATATGCATAGACATTAATATTACTTTCCCACTCAAAATAAAGATTGGACATACTCATTTTTATATTCTGTAAGGTATGTGACCGTGAATTTTTAAATTCATTATTTTTATTTTTTTGCACCGGTGCCCCTCAAGTGATTTGTATTGCCTGGTCCCTAAATAGATTAGATGTTTGTCATCATTATATATTTTAAGCAATGTCATTTACCTTTCAATATCTTTTAAAAAAAATTATTTTTCATAATTTGAATGAATTAGGTCCTTTTATTATCATTATCGGTTATGGGAGGGTGGATCCTTTTATTTTTTTATTATCATTATTGCTTATGGGAGGGTTGATCCTTTTATTATCATTGTTGGTTATAGGAAGATGGATCCTTTTATTATCATTGTTGCCTATGAAAGGGTGGATCCTTTTATTATCATTGTTATGGGAGATTGTCATTGTTGGTTATGGGAGGGTGGATCTTTTATTAATTTGTTGCTTCTGGGAGGGTGGATCCTTTATTATCATTGTTGGTTATGGGAGGATGGATCCTTTTATTATCATTTTTGGTTATGGGAGGATGGATCTTTTATTATCATTGTTGGTTATGGTAGGATGGATCCTTTTATTATCATTGTTGGTTATTTGAGGATGGATCCTTTATTATCATTGTTGGTTATGGGAGGGTGGATCTTTTATTAAATTGTTGGTTAAGGTAGGATGGATCTTTTATTATCATTGTTGGTTATGGGAAGGTGGATCCGTTTATTATATTGTTGGTTATGGGAGTGTGGATCTTTTATTATCATTGTTGGTTATGGGAGGGTGGATATTTTATTATATTGTTGGTTAAGGTAGGATGGATCTTTCATTATCATTGTTGGTAATGGGAGGGTAGATCTTTTATTATCATTGTTGGTTATGGGAGGGTGGATCCTTTTTTTTTTTATCATTGTTGGTTATGGGAGGGTGGATCCTTTTATTATCATTGTTGGTTAAGGTAGGGTGGATCTTTTATTATCATTGTTGGTCATGGGAGGGTGGATCATTTTTGGTTATGGGAGGATGGATCTTTTATTATTATTGTTGGTTATGGGAGTGTGGATCTTTTATTATCATTGTTGGTTAAGGTAGGATGAATCTTTTATTATCATTGTTGGTTATGGGAGGGTGGATCCTTTTATTATATTGTTGGTTATGGGAGTGTGGATCTTTTATTATCATTGTTGGTTATGGGAGGGTGGATCCTTTTATTATCATTGTTGGTTATGGGAGATTGGATCCTTTTATTATCATTGTTGGTTATGGGAGGGTGGATCCTTTATTATCGTTGTTGGTTATGGGAGGGTGGATCTTTTATTATCGTTGTTGGTTATGGGAGGGTGGATCCTTTATTATCATTGTTGGTTATGGGAGGATGGATCCTTTATTATCATTGTTGGTTATGGGAGGGTGGATCTTTTATTATCGTTGTTGGTTATGGGAGGGTGGATCCTTTTATTATCATTGTTGGTTATGGGAGGGTGGATCCTTTTATTATATTGTTGGTTATGGGAGTGTGGATCTTTTATTATCATTGTTGGTTATGGGAGGGTGGATCCTTTATTATTATTGGTAGTTATGGGAGGGTGGATCCTTTATTATCATTGTTGGTTATGGGAGGGTGGATCCTTTTATTATCATTGTTGGTTATGGGAGGGTGGATCCTTTTATTATCATTGTTGGTTATGGGAGGATGGATCTTTTATTATCATTGTTGGTTAAGGTAGGATGGATCTTTTATTATATTGTTGATTATGGGAGGGTGGATCTTTTATTATCATTGTTGGTTATGGGAGGGTGGATCTTTTATTATATTTTTGGTTATGGGAGGGTGGATCCTTTCGTATTATTGTTGGTTATGGGAGGATGGATCTTTTATTATCATTGTTGGTTATGGGAGGGTGGATCTTTTATTATCATTGTTGGCTATGGGAGGATGGATCCTTTTATTATCATTGTTGGCTATGGGCGAGTGCATCTTTTATTTTAATTCCCTTTCCTGCATAGATGAATTGAAGCATTATGCAGTTAGTTTTAGGGAAAGTGTCAAAAAACATGGTACTCGGATAAAAAGTTAAAACCAGGAGGAGCATGTTGAATAGAGCGGAGTTTTAGAGAGACTAGAATGTAGAATATGATAGCGTCTTAAAGAGAGTGGAATGTGGGATGTTGTTTAAATATGATAGCGTCTTAAAGAGAGTGGAATGTGGGATGTCGTATTAATATATTAGCGTCTTAAAGAAAGTAGAGTGTAGGATGTTGTTTAAATATGATAGTGTCTTAAAGAGAGTAGAATGAGGGATGTTGATTAAATATGTTAGCATTTTTGTTTACAAAAATGTGCGAGAAAGCGGTAATATGGAAATACTCTCAAACTAATTGAAATCAGAACGTACTAAATATCAAAAGTAATAATGTGTAATGAGTTTTAAGAGTCCCACTAAAAGACCCCTATTTTTGGCCCCCTGCTCTGGGGTGTCTCTTGGAATGAGCCCTATCTCAAAATGACGATTGATGTAAAGGACCCTCTATAAACCAATGAGAAATGGTATTTTTCGACTTTCAAAAAATTATATCTTATAAATGTGAAAATATTGAATTGATCTACATCATTTTTATGACATACCTGTCATTTTGCTCCAGGAAACAAATAATGTTGAAGGACAAAGTATTGATAAACAGAAATCAATTAAGCTAACTAATGGGAGAAAAGAAAATGAGAGTACATGTATTCAAGTACTTCGTCTTAGTCTAATATAATGATAAGAATACTTGAATTGATTACAAATAGCTTATTAAACCGCAGATTTCAGTTAATATATCGTAAATCAAGGACAAATCACTCTACCTGCATAAAAGTACCGTGAAATTGGTGCTCTTCAATGTGCAGTGTATATGTGAAGAGGGTCCTTAAGTTATAATATGCAAGTGTCACAGCATTTTAAAAATAGTCATATTCCGTATTTCCTGGGTTTTATTCTACCTCGTATCAATTTTCAGGCACATTTTGTCTCAGGAAACATAAAGCGCAAGATTGTCTGCATACACAATTTGCCTATTTTATGTACTAGCATCAAACAAATCTTGCCTATGAAAATCTCATATATACATGCTTGCGCTCTGTGTTTTCCGAAGTAAAAATTACCCTAGATATGCCAAAATTCAGTCAAAATTTGGAAAAAAATGTTCTAATTGGTCAATCTTTTGTAGCCTTCGTTGCGCTTTGAATCAAAATCAATGCTGGTTTTATAACAAGCCACACTTAATGTTCTTAATAGCAAAGTATCAAAATTTTACTATATTTTGATTTACATATCAAATAAAGGGCCAAATTAAACCTTTACAATACCGTGTTCTTCATTTCATCAGACATATGTGAACAAATCAAAAGGTTACAACACCTCTAAATAAAATGTTTTTTTAGATTCAGGTTGCATATACATGAAAATAATTTTGTTGAACTTAATCGAAGAGTGGTGCGTGGAGAAGTTGCTTTTCTACCTCTATCCTGAGTTATTTTTGCCAACCACAACCAAAGAATGCTTTGAAGATCGGAAGTAAGCCTGTAATAAGAAAATCTTACATTTTCATTAAACTGTCTGTTCATTGAATGTGTTTTTATCTTAAACAGAGAAAATTAACTTTGGAGAAATACCCCTCCAAAAAAATAACAGATTTCAAATAAGAGTTATTTGGATATGCAATTTTCGAGTTTTTATTTTTTATTTCAGAATCGTAAATTCATTTTCAATGCCCAGTTACCTTTACCTTTGACTTATGGCATTAGGTGAGGATACTATGATACACATTGCAGTTATAAGGAATACCATTTTATAGTTTAAAAAGTTCGAGAAATGTTTTGAGAGTTATACTTGATTATGTGTCAGTAAGAAGTCAGATAACCATGCCAAAATCAGTATGTCTCTGGAGTCCCAATGGATTACATTGTGATACTCTAATGAGTGAAATCAACAAGTGAAATAAGTACTACCTTTAAAAAACGGTAGTCGGGTAACTTATTAATAATATACTTTAAAATTCTGATGTATTTACTCCTTTTCAAACCTTTACTGTTAGAAATACCATTGAATTCATATAGAATCTAGTAATCCCATATACGAATATTTACTTCCTCCTGAATAAAGAAGTCGGGTTTACTCTTAGCACTCATAAACGATTTAATTTTCGAAAAACGTAAATAAATGTATTCCTATTTCAGTAGTAATAAAAGAATTTGCACACGTAAATAGAAAACATACTTTTATAACCGAATATTTGCATCTTTTGCTAAACTGCGGAAACATAGATCTTAATATAATATACATAATATGTCATGAAAATATAACAGGAATTTTCCAATTTATTGCAACACAAAGTAGTCATACTTTTGCCAGATACTTTAGCTGGAATCAACCATCACCAGCACTGGCGAATCACAAACGTATTACAGCATATTCATCAGAAACGAAAACAAAACTAACCAAACATAAATAATCTATTGTTTAAACTTCAGTCTCAAACCCACGCTACTGACATCCAGCCAGACTGGGCCAGGTACATATACGATGTGTGAGGGAGAAATGGAGGCCCACATTACAAGGCCTGGTTAACGGAGATCCGTACAAACACTGAATATACTTAGTACAGTCTGAAGGATGAGGTAGCAGTCGTCCATCATTATTAATGCATGGATTTCCTAAAACGAATCAAATTATTCCTTTTAAAGATGCTCCACAATTAGTGACTTCCTTTAGATGTATTACATGCTTTGACCATTCTCTAGAATTAGGTATTCAGGTTTCTGCATGCATAGTATTCATTACTAATTCCATTAAATGGAATTCCATATTAGCCTCGTAGCACTTGTACCAATGAAATGTCGAATATTATACAGTGATTTGATAAATATCCTTAATACATATTAACAATTAATCTCTCACTTACCTGGTGCAGACGTTGGTACTGCAGTCATTGGAGCACCTGTTGTTGGTCGTGGTGTCAATGGCTGTTTTGTTGTCGGAGCACCTGTTGTTGGTCTTGGTGTCAATGGCTGTTTAGTTGTCGGAGCATTGGTTTTTGGAGCTTCTGTAGATGGATTACTACCACAGTTCACACGGTCTGCACGATCGCAGACTTTGTAGACGTTGCTGAACATTTGCCCTGAGGGACACTGTTTGGGTGCATATGATTGTAACTTAGATCCACCCCAGCAAAGATAGTAACGAGAACAGTCAGACGGGTCTCTCACCGCCCCGTCATACGGGCACGTATCTGTAAAATGGAGATAGGAAGTGCTTTACTATATTAATAATTAGTTAGTTCTATTAACTGATAGAAACTTTGGTAAAACCACACAAATGTGTATTATGGAATTAGTAAATACCAACATCATATTAAGCATTGTTAATGGAGTTGAGGGTTTCAACTTAGTACTAAATGGAAGTACCAACTATCAAGCAGAATATTTTGAATATATTAAGTAGTATAAACCTATCACAAGACGTGTTTTTATGTTGTTTTTTTTTATTTTCTGCGAATTAGTAATTACTTTCGACACGATACAAATAGTACCCAAAGGGTTGTTTAATTTTTACAGCTTGCATGATCTTGCCAGTCACAGGCTTACGATCGAGAAATGCAGACCTAATAGAGAGCTCAATACTACCAGTTCTCCATGCAAGCAATGAATATTGGTTGTTCATTGAATTGACCATCATTTCCTTCAAAGTAACTGTCATTAAAGAAGGTAAGATAGGGACTTAAAAATCTCATCATGGTCTACAAAGTATACTGGGACTGCAAAGCATGAAAGTAAGCTGTTATATGCATTACCGTGCAGTGTCTCCGTCATGGGACTGCAAAGCATACTGTGTTACGGATGTTTGGGTCAGGTCTGCAGATTGTTAGTGGGAGCATTGGTTAGTGGTGCAGCTTTTGATTCCATCCTTTTACATTCCACTCTATGGTGACTTCCTTAGCCATAGTTAATCATGAGTAAAATTAGTATTAAATAGCAGGATTTCAACAAAGGATATGCTTAAAAGCAGCAAAAATAAATAACTAAATTAAACAGTTTTGAGTTTTTTACAGTACGGAAAAAATAAAACACAGCTCCAATCCGAAGGCCGGTACACACAGTAAGGTTTGTATTATATTAGAACAGGTAATATATATAAAGATGGGATGTTTAATACATGACCCTGCTGTATTAACAGAATCATCCATCATTCTGATTTGTTGGGATAAAGGTCAGCTATGACTTTTCTACGGAAACAGAACATTGCTCTATTCTTAATACAGTTTTATAAGATTCGAAAAATCTTATAACACATTGAATTAAGAGTGCATACACTATAAGATATTGTATTCTAATACAAGTATTATAATTCAAATCTAACCGTGTGTACTGGCCTTTAAAGTTTAAGATTTTAGAAGGAAATATATCAATAGCTTAATGCCGGTTGTTTTTTATTTATTAATGAAGACATTACATATCCTTTCTTTAAGATGATTCACTTTGAACATGTTTTCCTTTTACCTGATGGTATAGTGGTTTTAGGGGCTGTAGTTGTCGGGGCTTTAGTTGTCGGGACATTAGTTGTTGGAGCCTTGGTTGTCGGATTTGTCTTGGTGGGTGACTGTGTTGTCGGCCTAGTTGTCGGATCTGTCTTGGTGGGTGTCTGTGTTGTCGGCTTGGTTACTACTGTTGTGGTCAGCGGATTACACTTGACATTACGTGGCCAATCACAAAATTTATTTGCAGGATTAAAGTACAGTCCTGGCTGGCAATATCTCTTAATAACTTTTTTATGTACACATTGATAATAGCTTGTGCAATCATTATTATTTGGAAACATATATCCATCCGAGACACTTGCGCAAATACTGTCGTCTAAAATAATATCAAAGCAAAGAAATGAAGCAAAATTATCACCCAATAAATATTTGCTGTGAATCATGCAAGTAAGAATAACCAAAACCGAACTTCAGGTTACAAAAAATAGTTTACAGCAGCATTCATTTTTATATGCCTACAGCATACCAATATAATACTGTAACTTCAGAGAAAATAAGGCCCATTTTAAAAGGATATTGATTAAGATCTTGACCAGTACTTTATTCATGCAAGAATACAATCTGCTTTGACCTACTATATATGTAGAGACTGTAACTTAAGATACCTATTCCCCCACCCTCAGTGGTGGTTTTAGGTGGAGCCTGAGTGGTAGCTGGACTGTTTGTCGGTCCTGCAGTGGGGGCTGCAGTAGAAGGGCTTGTAGAAGGATTCACTGGCCCTCCTCCACCCCCAGATCCTAGTACCTCCTTCATCAAAGAAATCAGGGGGTATTTTCCCTCCCCACAAATTGTTCCCTTGAAGTCATCCAGGGGTAGAGCCCACGTCATAGCCCCTCCGTAGCCATCTTTGATGATAAGATCAGTTATCTTATAAAGAGAAATTATATTTATCTAACAGTTTTATCAATTTTATTCTAGCAATTTGCCTCAAAGTGTTTCCTTTATTATGAAAATGCTTTAAAAATCTTTTTTGACTTTATATGCCTCGATTACTTTATTCAAAAGTCGCAAGACCAATTTTTGTAATGATTAAAACAAATTTGAATATACACTTCCTATTAATAACAGACAACAGAAAACATATTAGAAAGAAAACTTCTATCAGAAAATCACATGAGTCTTTCGTCGGGTTCAAAATGAATGAATATAATCTCACCTTTAGTCTGAGGCTAGTCTTATCATCAAAGCCAACCCATAGTTTCGTACTTGGATTCACATAATACGGAACTTTGGCTACTGGATCTCTGTATGTAACTCCCTGGCCACTCTTTTGCATCTCACAAATCTGCAGTAAAACGTTTAGTAAACTCTGGTAACACCTTAATGTTAATATTATTTTTTTTTTACATGTTATTTAGTATATTTTAATATTTTTCCCGTCACATATATCAAGTTGAGAAATGGAAAAAAAAGCATTAAAAGATTATTTTTAAATTAAATATTACAAAGAAGGTGACGTAATTTTATGAAATTATAAATTACAAATATGCATATACTACTTGTATCAATACAATATAGATATTCATATAAACAAAAAGCTAGATAGCATAAAAGTAAGTTGACAGTGACGTTCTCAGAAACATATTTTACCTCATAGTAAGATAAAAATCCTTTCTCTTTTGTGTAAGGTCCTGGATTCCCAGCGCCTGATGCTGGAGCCCCAACTCCGTGATTAGACGCATCCACCAGTGTGAAACTTCGTCCATATGTACCCAGACCTATGATCAGTTTCTCTCGGGGAGCCCCCTTTTTATGCCAGTAATTTGCTGCATAGGCCTAAAATGATTGAATTTTGTATCAGCTACATGAAAATCTTGCAATTTGGAGCAACTCGATATGTCTTTTATGTGTACTTACAACATTCAGAGTTTTATCTGGATCATTATCTGAGGCGTAGAGCCCGGTGTGCAGGCCTGTCTTTGATTCCCAAGATCCATGTAAGTCATACGTCATTATACATATAAAGTCCATGTATCTGATAAGCAAATCCGAAATATATTCATGGACGGTAACAGTAATGTCATTAGTAGACATGTTCTTTATTATCTAAATAGATTAATACAATTAGTATTCGTTTAAATTCGGTGTCATTAAAACACATTAAGCTTACTGTGCCATCACTGGAACATCATAGGCAGAGTCTACTACACTCTTCCCAGCACCAACAGCGGCTGTAAATAATAACCGCTCCCTTCCCGTACGAGCAGCTTCATCGTCAAACGCCTCGCGTGTTTCCTGTTATATTCAAATTATCATTATTTGGTTTGAGTATACTGTGGAATCATAATTACCTTAGATATACTAATTTTTGTTAATAAATTGGTTTTATATTTACCTTGCAAAGATGAGCAAAGTTTGCTTTGTCATAAGGTTTTCCGTCCCTATTTGAAGGGTATTCCCAATCCATATCGAGGCCATCAAAGTTATATTTTCTTAACCAGTCAATTGCAGATTCTATAAACTCTTTCCTGTTTTCGGCAGTTGATGCCATGTTTGAATAAGCAAGACTTCCGGCCGTCCAGCCCCCCATGGCCAGTAGTGCTTTTAGCTTAGTGTTTTTCTGTTTGTGAGCATTCACCTGTCCGTACCTTTTTAAAAAGTTGGGATTGAATTGAAAAATATTGAATTCAGTAAGTATTGTAAAGGTTCGTGAATTAACAATAAGTACACGCAAGAAGAGCATACATAGTAGCTGAATTGGCAATTATATCATTCGAAGTGTAATAAAAAATAGATACCATATTTTTTGCCTTTAACCATATGGATTTGAACTGTGTGTGTAGCTGTAAAAATCACTATATTAGAGACCTCTATAGTTGAACATTTTATAGCACCACTTACAAAGTGTTGTCATTCCATTCAAAGTTGGTGATCTTGTTGCCAATTAGCTTTCCAAACGCGTAGATGATGTGGGTACACAGGTTTGGGTCTATATCCTGTGGGAAGAATTTGCCGATGCCAGTCCTGTACTGGGACCAGTTGGTGTAGTAACATACAAGCTTGTATTCCGCCAGACCTGAAAGTAAAATGTATATGTTTGCTGATAGAGGTGAAATTACCTTTTATATTCGACCATCTACAAATACTGCGTACAAAATATTACTTTTAACAAATTTCTTATCTAGCATTTTGAGGTGCTTGACTGTTTTAATCCAAGGGCACGTTTTCTTCAATACTTAGCAGATGGCCTTATCAAAATTGTTAACATAAAATATTGATATTTACTGTATGGATTCATTTGCAACTATTTGACTCCTTTTATAGTGTTTTACTGCAAAGTCAAGTGCCCCTTGTATTTGAAAAATGAATGTACATACCGTCAAGCTGGGTATATTCAGAGGACGTTAATCAAATACATTACCTGTCACTAAAATTCATCAATAAAAACACTTTTTATTCCACATTCATTTATTTTCAAATTCATATATACAGTGTTTATACTACATTCAAAATAGGGACCGATACATGATTATTTTTACGGCCTGTATTGACTGGCCAATCACAGGTACCGACACATGTTTATTTTTCACAGCCTGCATTGGCTGGCCAATCACAGGTGTTGATAGAAACCGAGAAATGCAGGCCTGGTTGACAGCTCATTTCTACAGGTTCTCCATGTACACACTGAATGAACTTTGTACAGTCGCTTGGATGTTTTATAAGTCGACCATCATTTCCATCACAAGTAACTGCAATACAGAGAAGAAATAAAACCTTTCTTTATAAAAGGTATAAAGATGACATATCAAAACGCCATTGCTGCAAAAAATGAGGATAAATAGCAAATGGTTTACCCGTTGGTGCCTCTGTATAAGGTCCCTGTGTTGTTGGTGCTTGGGTCGGTGCTGCAGTGGTAGCAGGTGGTTGCGTCGTAGGAGCGTTCGTGGGGGCACTGGTTGATCCCACCACATTACATTCAACCCGATCGGCATAGTCACAGCCATTGTATACCGTACTAAAGAACTGTCCATCCGGGCATTTCATTGGATCGCCAACACCACCCCAGCAGTTGTAATACAGAGAGCAGTCGAACGGATGTGGATGTAGGCCATTTGAAGCAGTGGAGCAAAATCCAGAGCCTTTCAGAGCAACAAGAAGTACTTTACAACTAAACCACGATATCTTTCTTATTTAGTAAGCTTTAATGTACTTCATTCATTTCTCAAAAAATTAAAAAGGATAACCAGAATAACCAGAGAAAAACAAAAAGTCCATGAACCACAATGCTCACCTGAGTCACAATGCCCTTGCTGTTTTTTTTTTCATAATTTTGATCACTTATTCGTACCTTACCCGTACCGGGTCACGATTTGAACAAACTTTAATCTTCACTACCTGAGGATGTTTCTGTATCAATATGGTTTATCATATCTTTGCTTTTCTTAAGAAGAATTTTAAAGTTTTTTTTTCTATACATACCTGCGTAAAACTTTGATCGCCCATTGTGGCCCTATCTTACCCCCAAGGGTCATGATTAGAACACCTTTGAATCTACATTATGAAGTAAAGCTTTCACGTGAGTTTCAATTTCAACTCTGGCCTAGTGGTTTTTGAGAAGATACCATTAAATGTTCACTAATACTCAAATATCTCCCCTTGAATGAGGGTGTGGTCCTTCATTTGAACAAACTTGAATTCCCTTTACCCAAGAATAGTTTGTGATAATTTTAATTGAAATTGACCAATGGTTCTGGAGAAGAAATTGTGAAAGTTTAAGACAAAGACGGCACCAACAAACAACGAACAAAGTTTGATCAGTAAAGCTCACTTAGGTGAGCAGAAAAAGAAAATACCATTACCAAATATAGTACATTATGTAGAAAACAAGGTCGTGGCAGACAGCAACAAAAGGCAGAGAGGAGTTGATAGTGGCAGAAGCCAATTCTCAATCATTACTATTCGCCAGAACGGAACACCTTCCATCTTCTTTCTAAGTATCCCTCTTCATGCATATGTTTTCAAACATCACAAGTTCTCTCCCCTTTAGGCTCGCGGATTATGATTCTCATGTAGATATTTTTATTCATAAAAAAGGTATTCAGTGTAAGATAAATAATCATATGCACTTTTAGCATATATATTACTAAAAATTGACATTATTTGGTCGATCATAATACGTATTTGAAAGAATCGGGTAGAGGTATAAATGACATCATCACTGAATAACCTCTTTATGGGCGAATCTATATTAAAATGTACATCCAAACACGGATCCACCTGGAGCTTTCATGCAAAAACTTTCGACTATAGTTATAACAGTGCAAAGAAAATACGAAAGACAGCAATCCAGTTATCACTCTGATATATGTAATACATCGTGCAAATGAAACCAAAAAAGAAAAAGAAAAATACAAAAGAACAGTATTTATTTATTTCATTGTCAGAGCATATTGAATAAAATTTAAGAGAAAAGCAAATTTTATAAAAAAAATATGAAGAGAGAATTTACTGAATAATTTCTTAACGTAAAAAAACTGAAGAAAATCTTATACCTATTCCCCCACCCTCAGTGGTGGTTTTAGGTGGAGCCTGGGTGGTAGCAGGACTGTTTGTCGGTCCTGCAGTGGGAGCCTCGGTAGTAACTGGACTGTTTGTCGGTCCTGCCGTTGGGGCTGCAGTAGAGGGGGCGTTAGTCACAGGCTGGTTTGTAGAAGGATTCACTGGCCCTCCTCCACCCCCAGATCCTAGTACCTCCTTCATCAAAGAAATCAGGGGGTATTTTCCCTCCCCACATACTGTTCCCTTGAAATCATCCAGGGGTAGAGCCCATGTCATAGCTCCTCCATAGCCGTCTTTGATGATAAGGTCAGTTATCTACATTAAAAATAAATATTATTGATGGAACTTATGATTCCTGTAGGATCAATGAAGTGAAATGATATATTACCCAGTTTGAAATATAATGAGGGGGAAAAACCTGGTGAAATATTTAAGGCTTTCGCCTGAATGTTCCTATCGTTGACAAATGAATTAGAATTTGATAACAATTTTCTATAACCAGTAAAACTTTTTTGGCACGTATAGGAATGGTCACTGAATTTGATCAACGTTGCCAATTATTATGTTTTGTCAGAAACATACATCAAACATAATTTAGTTGCTGTGTGTCTTATTGCCATGTGAACTGACGGAAAAGTTTGAAAAATCGAGATTTCAGCTATATTAAATCTTTATAAAGTCTTAAGAAAGACTCAGAAACCCAGTTTGACCACTTGCATAAAAACGTTTTTGGTGCGTTAAAAAATAATGACCACCAAATTGAAATTTTATGAAAACATTCAACTAACCATAACATATTTTTCACTTATATTATCATATTATACATGCATTCTAGTTAAAATTCCTGAAGTGGCAATAAAATAGACAATTGCATAAAAAAGTTTCAGAAGTTTTATTAGTAAATCTTTATCTGAAAAAAGAAAATATCACTACATCCTAAAAACTTTCTAAAATACATAATCAAAAGAATTCATAGCTTTTTCATGCTTAAAATTGCTGTAAGGGATATAAATGATTAGATCTAAACCTTGATTTAATGTCTTCCCTTGTATATGTGAAAGAAATTGGCCATTTGATTGTTATTTCACATTATTTTTTTGAATTCTGGTTTGAAAAGTTTTATGAAAAAAATATGAAACAATAAAATTCCCCCGTCTTTTTTTGTCCATTTAAGTCAATTCTTTAAATTTAAGCCAAAAAAGAATTTTGATATACAAGTTTTCTTGCAAAAATACTAGATTTTGAAGTGACTCTAATTTACATTATTGTGTTGCACTCAAGCCATCTGAAATGTATGTTATTTAAAATTGTTTTTAAAATTATAACACACAATAACTCATTCAAAGTTTGTAAATCAGTTCGTCATTTTGATATTTTGTATCATTTACGGTAAGTTTGTCATATTTTCAAGACTTCAAAACATGACTATTTGCAAAGTGAAATATATATACATTGTATTTAAAATATATGTTAAGTGATGAAAACTATTCTCTGAATTGACTGTAAAATGTCCAAACAATATATCTCTAATTTTTTGTTAGACATAATGTTTTGAACATCACCTGACCAAATAGTATCGAACATTTTTTTTTTCATTTTATTTTTCAGTAAAGATAGATGAAGATCATTGAAAATTATATTAAAAAAAGTGTTGTTGCACTCCTGACTGCAATAGAATCTAAAATTAAAACATAGAACACAAAATTCATAAAGTGTTGGCAACATCAAGTGGTAAGGGATATAAATTGTGCAATATTTATAGTCCAATACTTCATAATTCAAACACTTGAAAGTATTTCAACTTGGCTTTCTATCGAAGTTTATTCCCTATCACTGTCAAAAAACTAGCTAAAATATCTATTTAATTTTATTTAATATATATTTTAATTTTAGAAGATAAAATATATTTTATAATATATTTTCCTTCAAGGGACATACACTGTAAGCAACTGATGTCAATCATTTATTCCCTATCACTGTCAAAAAACTAGCTAAAATATCTATTTAATTTTATTTAATATATATTTTAATTTTAGAAGATAAAATATATTTTATAGTATATTTTCCTTCAAGGGACATACACTGTAAGCAACTGATGTCAATCAGAAACATTCTACTCATCAATTTTTCTTTATGTTTATTCATATTTGATCAGCAATATTTGTGACATTTTTGTTGCACTCCTGACCAAGAGCATCTGAGTCTTTAAAGTAGAATTGTAAAGCAAAAATTACATCAGAACTTGTTCTGTTGTTTCAGTGAAGTTGGGGTGGAATTACTTGAATTTTATAACGATTTTTCAATGTTTATTTTTACATTCGTAATAAAAAACAAAGAAAAGATAAAAACACATCTAAATTGATAGAATTGAAAAAGAGAAGGATTTTGATAATAAAACTGTCAATAATTTACTACTTAATTATTCAAATAGATCATTATAATTAAAGAATATCTATTACTATGAACAGAAGTCTTTTCATCATATAACTTGAATCTTTAAAAAAAAAATGCGTTGCACTCTTGACCATAAAAATATAGATTTGAAAGACAGACAGACCCTGTAATTGATAAATGTATTTGGTAAAAATGTTCCTTGTGTCTTTATTTTCCAAAATAATAATCAGTGAATCATAAACTGATCAGGCCCGTAGGAAGCAATTCCAGTTTGGGGGGGGGGGGGGCACAACCATACATTTTTCAGTTGACAGTTGAGGGGGCACTACCAAAATTTCCTGACAAGCAAAAAAAAAGGGCATTTACTACCAAAAATTCTTTGACAAGCAAAAAAAAAAGGTCATCAGACGTTTTTATTGAGGGGGCACAAGCATATAGCATCTATGTTTACTATAGTAATCTATATATCAGCAAAATTATTGGGTATACTTGGCTTTTCTTAACGCTGCTTGTGATTTATATAACATTTTAAAGTTCTAAATGGTATATCAGTTATTGTTTACAATATTTAAGCAAGTTCTTTTTTGACTTAATTATCTTAGAGATTTTTAAAATTGATGGGTTTTTTGCAACATTATATTTTTTTCTGTTGCACTCCTGCCATGGTACAGCATTTTTTTTTCAACATCAGCCATGACCACAACTTGGTCAACAAAAATTATAACAGTCTACATTTAAAGGTTAATACTTTGAATATTATCAGGAAACTCTTTATTTCCAACATAAACCAATATTATTTATTGCATAGATCTTCAAAAAGTGTTGAATTTTCAAGTTCACGAAAAGGTGTTGCACTCCTGACATTTTTAGCATCATTTTTGGGTTTAACTTTTTGTGACTTGAGATGTCAATGCGATGGTATTTAAACAATATCTAAAGACCTATGCTGAGACAGAAATTCCCATTGCCTGTATTTTTAGTGTAGGTTGATAAATAATTCACACTTTTACGGTTTTGATTCTTTTTCTGTGTGTGACTGGTCGGCAGGGGATGCTCTCTCCTCCATGGCACCTGATCCCACCTCCGATGTTTTGGAGGTCAGTGTTTGCTCTGCTCCTATTTTGTATTGTTTAATAGACTTTTGACTTGAATACTGATCGTTATCTCCATACATTTCATTTATAAATTTAGGTACCTTCTGATCAGAAAGTTAAATATATCAATCACTAAAAAATGTAGCACATGTAATCTTATAGAACTAAAGCTGGATATTATAAATCCATGCCAGGATTGAAATTCAGGTAGTTGTTCATAGATATCAATTTAAAAAATAGTAGAATTTACATGCAAAGGTGTATGTATGTACCAAGGAGACTTTATATTTCAGTTTTGTTTTCTTTTTCTTATTCAGGCTATATTAGATGATCAACTGGGTTTTAAGTGAAAATCATCCAGGCCAATGTGTTTCAACAAGCCTATTAGTCATTCTCAAATGGAAGCACAAGTTCATTAATTACAGATCGACTTATTGTTCTTACGTAGAGGTTTAAAAATTGTGATTCATATACCTATACAAGTCCCTTTATTCATCATCAAATCTTTAAATCCTTACTCGAGTTCCACCCTTATCAATAATTCGATAATCAAATTCATTAAAAAAAAAAGAAAAAGAAAAAAAAAAGAAAATTGAAACTACACTTCATGTACATAAAGACGGTATACAATATAAAGAAAACTTTAAATCTTAAACTCACTTTAATCTTTATTAAGATGCGCAGTTAACAACTTAGCGCTGAATTTCGAGTATCTCCTCACCTTTAGTCTGAGACTAGTCTTATCATCAAAGCCAACCCATAGTTTCGTACTTGGATTCACATAATACGGAACTTTGGCTACTGGATCTCTGTACGTAACTCCCTGGCCACTCTTTTGCATCTCACAAATCTAAAATAAAAATTTAGAATTTACTCTAGATATACCTTTATCTGAAAACTTTTTCCTGGACCTTATATGCTACGTCGGAATATTTCATTTCTTGATTTTAAAGTGGGAGAAATTACTGCACAATAATTGAACTAACGTAAATACACCTCTAAAAATGGAACATGTAGTTCTATAATAATAATAAAAAAGTAGTACATTTACAGTGATTTATTTCACCTCATAGTAAGATAAAAATCCTTTCTCTTTTGTGTAAGGTCCTTGGTTCCCAGCGCCTGATGCTGGAGCCCCAACTCCGTGATTAGACGCATCCACCAGTGTGAAACTTCGTCCATATGTACCCAGACCTATGATCAGTTTCTCTCGGGGAGCTCCCTTTTGATGCCAATAATTTGCTGCATAGGCCTAAAACAAAAGCATTTAGAGCAGCTGAAGGATTTCGGACTTAAAATCTGCGTGATGGAACAATTCAGAATGTCTTTATATTGTATGTACTTACAACATTCAGAGTTTTATCTGGATCATTATCTGAGGCGTAGAGTCCGGTGTGCAGGCCTGTGTTTGGGTCCCAAGATCCATGTAAGTCATACGTCATAATACATATAAAGTCCATGTATCTGATAAAAATTCGAAAATCAGGAGCATAAAATGTATTTCCATCTACTTTATTGCTCTCTTAATTAAAATGAATGATTAGAAAAACATTTCTTTTGTGTCGTTTAAAGAGATCAAAGCTTACTGTGCCATCACTGGAACATCATAGGCAGAGTCTACAACGCTCTTCCCAGCTCCAACAGCGGCTGTAAATAATAACCGCTCCCTTCCTGTACGAGCAGCTTCATCGTCAAACGCCTCACGTGTTTCCTGACAACATCAAATCAATATTATTTTTAGGGTGTGTCAGATCTTAACTCACATCTTTTTTACTTATTCAGTACAATCACATGACATTCAATAAGCTGCAATGCCAGAAAACAAGCTACGAAAGATTTTCTTTTTCTTATCAAAGATTCAACATTTTTTAACTTTAACCTTTGAAACCAAACGAAAATTTATACTTTTTGCACCAAAATGATGCCAAGTTGATTACCTTCATTAAACAATAGTATACATGATAATGCATTTATAATTGTATAAAATGTACTTCAGATGGCATGTACTAATTTTTGTAAACAAACTGAAGTTAAATTTACCTTGCAAAGATGGGCAAAGTTTGCTTTGTCATAAGGTTTTCCGTCCCTATTTGCAGGGTATTCCCAATCCATATCGAGGCCATCAAAGTTATATTTCCTTAACCAGTCAATTGCAGACTCTATGAACTCTTTCCTGTTTTCAGCAGTTGACGCCATGTTTGAATAAACCAGACTTCCGGCCGTCCAGCCCCCCATGGCCAGTAGTGTTTTCAGATTAGGATTCTTCTCTTTGTGAGCATTCACTTGCCCATACCTATTTAAAGTTAATTAATTTAAACATAAAAATCTTTTTTTCTTTTTCTTCTGTTTTTTTTTTTATTTATAGTTTTTTTTATAAATTAAAAAAAATAATTTCTTATTTACTGTGGAATCATTTAATTCGTAGGAGTCAATGTTAGTGGCATATCAATACTTCTTTGGTTCGTGGGGTCGTAAGATTTGATTCAATGATCAAAGTAATGTAAATTTATGGGTAAGGGTTATTCACGAAATCTTTGAACATTGATTCTCCACAAGCAATGATGGCTTCACGGTTCTTTTCGAGCTATTACGCCAAATGTATTGTAAAGGGCATATAAAACTCCAATGAAACTAAAAGGACTTTGATCTTAAGATGTAAAACAAATGCTTATGGATGTTGTCAGTTTCACCCATCGTAAATTTAGACTGCATAGGATAGCGGCATTGTCAAGCCCCATAAATTGTTTAACAATTACCAGTTACCTATCTATAATTTGTAATTATGAGATTACGGTCCGAGAATTTTAGCAAGAGGCCTATAGGTCACAAAGCCAATCCTAGTCATATTGGCCATGCTGATCTTAAGAAGAAAATTCGCATGAAAAATTCAATATTGATTTGATTAACTTGAATATTCAATCTCTGAGGATACTTCCATACTCGTTACACTAATCAAGGCTATCCTGTTCTTTAGGGAAAAAAATAGATTTTTAAAGATTTTTTCCTATACAATGTATATTCCCACGCAAAAACTTTGGTCTCCGTATTGTGGCCCTAGCCTAGCCCAGGGGCCATGATTTGAACAAACTTGCACCTGCACTAATTGAGGATGTTTGCATATCAATATCATCAATCATGCCCCCATTGCTGTTTCTCATCAGAAGATTTTTGAACACATTTTTACCTATATATTTCCATGTAAAACTTTCATCCCCTATTATGGCCCCATTGTACCCAGGACGGTTGTAATTTGAGCAGACTTGTATTTATACTTTGTAAGGAATCTTTCACACACGTTTCATCTTTTCTTTCCCTGTAGTTATTGAAAAGATTTTTAAATGACCCAAATGAGTTATAACTATTTGTTAATTTTCTTCCCTTGAAAAAAAGGTGGCCTTTCATTTGAACAAACATCAATACCCTTTACTCAAGGATGCTTGGTACAAGTATTCTCAATTTATAGTGCCAAATCGCCCTGTACAATTTTTTTTTTAAATATGTGAAATGAAGCTAACATTTTGGTATGTCATTTTAAGCATGGCAGAGTATATGTATTAAAAATCACAATTTTTAAAATTACATACTTCAAGCTGTGTTTTGTTGACCTCCATCGAAATGAATGCGGTTAGAAAGCTATGTGTTTACGTCATCTTGATGTACCATAATTGGAAACGAAGTATTTTAATAAAATAACATATTTAAGATAATACACATCAAATATTATGAAAAACAAAACCGACTTAATTTCATTTAAAAAAATTATTATTTTTTTTTTATTTTAACAAGATTTTCAAATCTAATGATAAACTAAATAAAGACAAAATTCCCCAAAATTATTCATTATTTGATTCTGTATTTATCATATCTAAGAAATTCACATAATCTTAAAGATAAGAATGTAAAAAAAAAATTAATCATTAACTTATTACAACATTTCTACATGCACTTTGTCAATCATTAAAATTGCATGATACATTTTTTTTAAATAAATTAATATTAAGTACCATAAAATCATAGACGCATTCCCTCTGTGTCTAAGCAATATTTTAATGGGGGAGGGGCAGGTTGGTAATTTAATATTTCTTGAACGCAATGAAAATGTCATGTTGTAAATTTTGAATTTACTGGGTGGCAGTAAATACAAAATTTACAACATGACAAAAAGGTAATAGATTCAATTTTGTCCCGTTTCTCGGCACCCAACATCCACAGTCGCCTATTTTTACTTGACGTGATCGTCCTCTCTCTCTCTCTCTCTCTCTCTCTCTCTCTCTCTCTACAGTGCGGGAATACATTTCCTACGAATAATGTTATAGAGTTGTAATACTGAGCTGACTGTATAACGTAAATAAGTCTGACGTCAACCCCTATTAAAGAAGCATTTTATTTTAAATTCTCGAATCTGGATTATTAAAAAAGTCATTTAATTGATATATATGACTAGCATTTAGGTGTTGAATAACACAATCACGTTATTTTATTAATTCTTTCTAAATTGTATGCAACTTCATTAACAAACACTTCATTTAATAACGATTCAAATTAAATTGTTTCGTCCTTTTTTTAAATGTAAAATTTACTTGGCTTAATGTAATTTTAAAATTTGCCCCTTTATATTATAAATGTTTAGTACGGTACCGTATACATTTATTTTAATCAAAATTAAAATGTATAACCATTTTTAAATTTGCGATACACTATCAGATCAAACAACTAACAAAACAAAATACAAACTTTTATTAGCACAACAGTTTGATTCATATTTATGTTACGAATGGTAACGTAAAAACTTAGTACTTAAACTGTACAAAGTAAAAAATTGCTCAAAATGAAAACATTCAGTTTTTGACCCACAATTCTACTTGTGAATAATATTAGGTCAATTCAATTTTCAAATAAAACAGTTGCAAAAAATATAGTGAAAAATGTAAACCTTTGCACTTCTATTTGCATCTCTGCAATCTTTTTTTTTCATAAAAAGGAAAAATTTATGCCAGTGGAAGAATACAATGCATTTCAATAACTTTTGACCGCAAATCTGTTCAAACTACTGTAGAATATAAGTTTAATTTAACTTTAGAACATGGTAATGTTAATATCAGTCACACAAATATTTTATGAGCTTTATCTTATCCTTTAATGTTGTTGTTAAATTATTTCACTGTTAATTTAAGGCATATTTACTGCTTGTGTGTAGGTCATTGTAACCAAGAAATAGATCTGTTCAGTAAATAATTTCAATCAAAATAAAAAAAAAACTATACAACGATCAGCGACAGTAACGAAAATATAGATTTCTGCTATAAAAACGTTATTTTCTTCTAAGACAATCGTAGAAGTTAAGACAAAAATATGTTGAATTTTAATCAACAACCGAACAATAGTTCATATGACTGACAGAAAATAAAAATTCTTTGACAATGTTAAATTTATTAAAACATGTAATTAATTTAAAGCTTAAATATTGAGACTATATACTTTGAGAATCTGCGTGTAACAAGATTGAATTGTACCTAGTGATTCTGGAGAAGTAAACAAGCAGACGGACGTCGGACACACTTTTCTTGAGTGTATGGTTCAGGTGAGCTTAAAAAATTCTTTACTTATCAGTAAATATCAGCTAACGAATGTGTCTAAAGTGACTCATGAATGAGATTTGAGCTTGTCTCGAGAGATGGATTTGAACTGCATGGCCACATAAAACATTAGTCTAAAAAACCAGGCGTGGAAAAACGACTTACAAATTGCTCCAATCGTCGTTGTCATTCCATTCAAAATTGGTGATCTTGTTGCCAACTAGTTTTCCAAACGCGTATATGATGTGGGTACACAGGTTTGGGTCTATATCCGGTGGGAAGAATTTGCCGATACCAGTCCTGTACTGGGACCAGTTGGTGTAGTAACATACCAGCTTGTACTCCGCCAGTCCTATGGAAAGACACAAGAGGATGAAAAGATTTGTAAATATAAATACTATTTCATTTTTTTTCTAGAGCTATCGTACATAAATATTGCACACCTCTAATAAGATTTCTTGACATATAGAAGTTTTATCAGATAAGCCTTTTCTTAGCTAATCATGAATTTATTTGTATAGCTTAGCATTGGCATACATTTCTCTGCAGAACTCATATCAATGCTTTTCGAATGTGTACAAAGAGAATACATTCACTGAGTAGATTCTCTCCCATTTTCGTCAATTTTGCTACCAATGCTTTACATAAATAGATACTAAATATACAAATGGTCAAAATACTATAAATATATGGGTTCATGTAAAAACTCTTTTTGTTAAATGGGAAAGATAACGTTACGTTCAATTTCCATTAGTGAACTCTTCAAAATTAGAGGCGCGTTTGGTCGTCTGACTGGGACAGCATGACGTTGCGGATAATACAAAACATGCCAATCTCAATCCAATTTTAAATGTTAAATGTATTTGTCATTCCAATTAAAGAATAGAAGAACTAAAAGACATATGTAAGAGAGCGAGAACCCTAAATCTATCATCCATTAATAAAAAATACGACATTTCCGAGGCATGTGTATTGTACTTAGATGTACCATACGATAAATAGATACATAAGATCAACAATAGATATAAATTGATATCGTTGTCATTCCTACTCTTGATGTATATAAAGTCCACATCAATAAAATATTTCATTTGCATTTTCTTAGGAATTGCTCATCGACATTCAACATATTGTTTACATGTTTATGTTACGTTTGTCCCAGAAATCCCGCGAGATTTGTATATTTTCCGACTTTTTCACAAAAGAGCGCACTAAGAAGTATAACTCTTCCATAGTGGAAATAGAACGTAATTTCGCTTGAAAAACAAACTCACACGTAACTCGCCCACCCCTTCCTATCATTGATGAGTCGTACAAGAATGAGTTACATGTAAGAACTGATTTTTGAGTAAATTTTTTCTCTCAAACAATTGAAAATAATGTCTCATTCAGTGTTTTTCATGTTTAGATATTTGGTATTGAGAAGTAAAGAACGACTGGGGTGGAAGTAAGTACTGGGTATTATGATTCTTTAAAGGATGACTGCACTTAAGGACAGGCGAAATTTGCGACAAAACAAACTTTCAAAACAAGCATTTTTCTTTTCATTGGAAGAATGGCCAACATCCATTCTACAACTTTATTTAATTACGTTTAATAAAAGTGTGTATTTACTAAGTTCGAATCTGTTTTCAAAGGCAGGGGTCATCACAATTTCTTGAATCTCCGTTCGATAATGAGGACGCCCACTGTTTTACTGACTTTATACATAGTCAGCGCATGTTTGTCCATTGTTCTACGTTTAACAGTAGTTGTATATTTGCATGAATAATAACGTGTCAAAAGGAGATTAACAGACAAACATGCGCTCATGGTTAAAAAGAGAATAAACTGCTTCTTCTGACATTCGCTCCATGTGTTGTAATCAAGGATTGTAACATTTGAATATTATAATTCACCACGTGATTTCTTACCTCAGGTAACTTTCTGAATACTAAATTCCGTCAAGTGACTTGTAAGGTAGCATGTTTTGTGCTAACTAGGACATTGTGTTCGAACACCTTAAGTCAACTGGCATTGATATAAAATATGCTTTAATTACATTGACGTGCTCATATTGTTAATTTCGTTTTTAAACCTTTGTCAGAGGTGTATTTGTGCCATACAGAATAGAGAGGGAGATTGAAAAGAGTGATCACGTTCTTTTTTCAAACATGTCATTGCTATTTATCAAGTCTAATTTTAGACCCATTCTTACAATGTTAGCTCCACCTCTCATGCATATCTAATATTCAATCAAAGGCAGGTAAGTGTAAATTCACTATATTTGGAAAGCAGTAAGGACAAAAAACATAGAATCATTTTATTATATCACAGTCTAAAATGGTCTTAAGATTTAAATTTGGTTCCAAATTGACAGGATTCTTTCATAAACATACCAAAGTGAAATAAGATTTAGATATAAAAGCAACAGAAGCAACCGAAAAAGACCCAAAACAGGCGTTAAGTGCAGTCATCCTTTCAGATGAATTTGTCCATACACCTTTTGAAAAATGTATTAATTTTTTGGTGGGTACTGTTTATGGCGTGATTTTATTGTCTGTAAAACACTGAAATAATGTTTAAAAAATCATAAGGAAACGACTGGAAAGCACTTTATTACGCGAGCCTTTTGAGGGAACCCCTTTTTCCTTGGAAGAGATCTGAAACGACCCCCCCCCCCCCCCACACACACACACACACCCATCCCATCTTTCCCTAGATAGATTTTTTTTTTAAATACCTTTTTTTAAAATTGCAGACAACCAGAGTAAGCCCCGTGTGTGACCAGAACGTTTTTATCTTATTTGATCTCTAATTTTCCTAGTGGTCTCTCCGTAGCCGCGGGTCAGTAATGATCGTCATACAAAGAGGACAAAATTACACAAAATTACACAGTTTGATTTTCATCTTTAATTTGAGAAATTTAACAACAGGTGTGACATTGACGTAGATCAGTCGTAGATAGATTCAAATCTCCGTCCAGTGCCATAATAGAGATTTATCAATCTTTGTCTACATAAATAAACGTCTCAAATTCCCACATGAGTATTACTTCAATTGTAAGTTTAATGGATAGGTGTTTTAACGAAAGATAACTCGTTTGAAGGCACACATACAGGTTTAACAATGATATTTTACCTTAAAACTGTACCTGCTATTGTGTCACCTTGGCCAGAAACAGGAATAAACCAAGGTCTGCGCGAGAATTGAAAGGGCAGTGCCCATAACATAACAATGCAGTACAGTATAGTATAAGGCAAATACCAACTACACGTCTATACAGCATATGCAACTAATATAGAAGGATAGAAGGTAAAATGGCAATAGTTTCTTTAAATTTCATATTTAATAGTTAGACCAATCATCCATGTTCCACTTTTATATTTTTGCTATTTCTTATTCCTCTGTTTTAGAAATTCAAGTTTTAAAACAAAGTTCCCCATTCACATCTTTAATTAGCAACCTTGCATACTTCACCTTAAACAAAGATGTATTTAACACTGAATGACAATCTTTTACCCGATTGGGCTGATATGTGAACTTTTTTCACTCTTTTTCCCCTTGCCAATATTATAATTTAATCCTTTAATAAATAACTCCACCCGAAAAAGCGAAAAAGTATCATCTTCAGGTTATACATCAAATAACATTAAAAATAAACAACAAAAAACAAACAAACAAACAAACAAAACTTTTCTATACATGTTACCACGTAAAAAAAAAAAACATACATCAACTGAGCGTCTATAAAACAAACATTCTCAAAATTCACCCCAGACCTTGCTCGGATCGAGGAATTTTTTTCAAAGGGGGATGTCCACACCAATTCTCTCTCTCTCTCTCTCTCTCTCTCTCTCTCTCTCTCTATATATATATATATATAGGACACGCAAATGATTGACAAGCAAAAAATAAATAAATAACTAAAAGTTACATGAACTTGCTTAATTCGAAAATCCTATTTCGTTGGGGGAGGGGGGATAAATGACTTAACAGAAAAACTTATTAACTAAAAAATTCCCACCCGGAGGGATCCGGATACCTAAGCCTCCCCTCTAGATCCGCGCATGACAGACTTGTAAGTTTATAATAATAGTTAAAATAATTGAAGTCAAACAAAAATAAGCATGAAAATAATTTTGTTTAACATCCTTCATCCTCAATTTTCTAACAAATATATTAATTGCAATCACACCGCATGTATTTGACTTACCTATGCTGGCTACCATTGAAAGCAGGAGTAAAGATATAAGATTTTTAAAACCAGTCATCTTTCGTGTTGACCAGTCCCCGACTGTCCGCGTGTATCGACACTTCTATTATATATACAAGCACCCAGTGAACTGAACTTCGGTAATTTCCGTCATCCTCCGGCGATACTGATCGTAATCACCTCTGGAACATGCTAATCTCTAGTTACATCTCACACACCCCTAACAAATTAGAGATTAATCATTTAGAAAACTGATTAGAATGAACCATAATGCATTTTTTTTAAAATAAATCTCATAAATATTTTGAAGTATTATATTTAGTATTATTCGTTGAAAACCATGCTTAAAGTTGGTAATTCTTGCTTTTATATTAATTAAGAAAGAGAGAGTGATATCACTCATGCTTATGGGATTATTTTGTGTACTTTGTTTTTTTCTTTTTTTATAATTCTTTTCTTTTTTTATCAATTATTTAGATTAAATGGTCTTAACACAATTTACATAAACCGTTTGGGTAAGTAAAGTAAAACTCCCCCATATGATATTATAGCTGCTAATATTTCCTGTTATTTTTAATGTTATATATACCTACACTGTATAATTCTGTCTTTTATTAATTTTCAATCTAAAGTTGAAAATGATTACATGACAAATTATAATAAAAACAGTTTTAATAGATTTGGATGATTTGTAACATTCTTGTACACTTTCATTTGCACATAAGTAATACCATTCATATTTTATACGGAGAATTAATATCTTTGTTTTCACAGGCGTAGCATCGTTTTTGAAAGGGGGCTAGATTCCAACATTTTCAACAAGAAAAATTTTGAATATAGTAACATGAGAGGATTTTACGATGCTATAACCAAAACAAGGGGGACCGGTCTCTCAATAATCATTTTCTTACTAAATTTAAACAGCAAAAGATAACGTTCAGAAAAAAGGGGGAGCGTTGCAAGAATGGGGGGGGGGGGGCAAAGAAGCATACAGTGAAGTATGACACGTATGACCCTCACGGCGAGAGTGGCGAGAACAATTAACAGACTATAACCGACATATCAGTCAGATTAAAACCTTGATCTCCATATGGCTCATTTACAATCTTTATGGTATATACCCAATCTAATTCATAATTTTTCCACAAACCCTGAAGGACATAAAATTAATTAACTTTCAATGTTTTAATGCGAGTCAGTGTTTTTGCATACATGTATATACCTTCATTGTGTAACAGTGTCATATATTTCATCACAATGAATAAACAGATGATTTTTTTATCATACTTATAATAAGAACAAAATTTTACTGTATTAACATCTTCGCTAGCCAAGTGTTACTGAGCCACTACTCTCCTCACAAACAGGGTTTGTGGAGAAAATAGCATATCAGAAACCCTTGGCTAGCGAAGAAACTGTACGTATTAACGAATTTCTACCGATGCAAATATTCAAATTTTCTGTAGTGTCCAAAAATTTATTCGAGAATCAGATAGATTCTACTGTATTTCAAAACAGTGTCTTTGATATCAGTAAGTGTAGATTGAAAATTTCAATTTTTTAATAAATATGCAATCCTCTTGTTTAATAAACATTGTAATCAGTGTATATGTGATATTAGAGTTATGGTACATTACTCAGAGTATGTATCTTTATAATTTTCATATTGCATGTATAACATAATTTTTTGTAATTTTTTTTAATTTATTTGTTATGACAATCATATTGTATTCATTGTCTGTTTAACAAATAGAGGATCTATAAAGTTGAAAGATTTTGTATCCAATCCTTTTGTATGTACATGTATTAAACAATAAAATACACTATATGTTCAAATCAAATCAACGAATTTCTCTTCAACAAACTCTAGAATTTTATTCTGAAAATATAGTTTGAGGACATTTAAAACTAAATCTCGTGGATTCTTGTTATGACAAATTCAATTCAGTGATGTCTCAGTGGTGAACTGGACAACTAAAGCCACGGATTCACCTCCTTTGAGTGTACTGATCATAATGAACCTTAATCATCAGCTATTTTTATCGTGAGAAGCAGACTGTTTCTCAAGAAGTGAATGCAATTTTATAACGTGAAAAATATTCACCATATTAACCAATTTTGTTAAATACAAGGAACATAAAACACAAAGCATCAAACTGGCATCAACTCGTATAACGATGTCTGCATGAATTTAAATTATTTTCAGGTTGGGATGGGATATCGTTGCTGTGGAGCTGTATATATAAATATTATGGTATGCGCATGCGTGAAGATGGATTGTGTTCAGAATTTTACTGCGTTTTCGATGGAGTTTTCTGGTGTTTAGAAGTGTCTTTACCATATTTAAGACTTGAAAGTACCATCGAGAGTCTTGGTTTTGTTCATTAAAAGGTTATATGATATGTCAGAAAGCAAACGAAGGCTATCTTCAGATGGTAAAACCCCGAAGCCAGTAGCTAAAGCAGTCAAAATGGCGGAAGGAGGTAGCACGGGTAATTCTCATCATCATGGGGACGGGGAAAATGAAGAACCCGATATCGTAGTCCGGTTCACAATCATAGCTAAAGCTGTTGAAAGATTACAGAAAGGGCAGAATTCTTTACAGTCAATGATAGAAAGCAGCAAGTTTGACAAGTTTCGAAATGATTTCATGAGTAGTATAGATGAAAAATTCAAGGCAATGAAGACCGATATTGACCTTGAACTTGCTGTTCATAAAATAAAATGAGATCGATAGTTTGTCACGGAGCATTGATTCTATTGTTAACCGGTTAGAAAATGTCGAACAATCAGCTTGGCCTTCACCCGAAAATGTAAACATTGCAAAAGGTCCTACAAACCCACTAGATGATTCCAGTGTATCACTTATTGCAACTAACGTCAAATGCGATAGAGAGGAGGATATTCTTGATGTTGCTCGAGAAATTATAGGTCATCTTGACGAGAATGTAAACGTCGTGGCCGCATGTCGCTTGAAAAGCAGAGGCAACAGATCAGGCCTTGTAAAGATTTCAGTATCCTCTCTACTGAAAAAAGGCAGTGTTACGGGAAAAGCGTAAACTCCGAGAAATAGAAAAGTTCAAAACCGTCGAGTAAAACCCATACTGAAAGACTTATCGAACTTAATGCACGTACGATCTTAAACGAAATGCCACATGGCAAGCAATTTCGAATTACAGCAAATGGCAGAATTGTTAAAAAACAACCGCAAGTTGAACAGACCAATGATATTCTCTCCAATCATGAGGATGAGTAGGACAGAACCCGACCCACTGGTAGCCTAAGTATAGGACATTTGAATGTTTGTGGATGGACTAGATCAAATGAACAATTAAGAACTGAAATAATAAAGAACATTAATTGTGATATTGTTGGGTTGAATGAAACACATATAGTTAATGCAGATGGTATAGACTTAACAGAGCATGGGTTTAAATGGATTGGGTTTAACCGCACTCACACTCATATTAAAGCACCGAAAGGCTCAGGGGGCGTGGGAGTTTTAGTGAAAGACAGGCTGTTTAACTCTTATTGTATTGACATTGTAGACAAATCTTACGAAGAAATCTTAAGAGTTCGCTTTGTAAATAAACACAATGAATTTACACTTGTTCTCTTTACTGTGTACCTTCCTCCAGAAAATTCCCCGTGGGGACGTGATGCTTCCTCATTCTACTCACATTTATTATAACAAATCTATTTACATTATGAATCCGATGCCATTGTTGTATGTGGTGACCTGAATGCGAGAATCGGAAATATCCAAGACTGTAACGACTTAGTCGATAATATACCGCAACGTAACTCTGTAGACACTACCCATAACCAACACGGAAGTTCATTTTTAGAATTTCTAAATGACAGTCGATTTTGTACCTTAAATGGACGTTTCGGAGAACAGTCAAATCAGTATACTTACCATTCTACACGTGGACAATCGGTAGTTGACTATATCTGTGTTCCTCACGATGTTTTTACTCAGTGTAAAGAGTTTCGTATTGTGAATTGTAATAGTGTAATTGAAGAACTCAACGCGATGAACCTTCTAGGAGAAAAATGCAAGGTGCCCGATCACAGTGTACTTAAGTTTGAACTAGTCTTTGGATACACCGTGTATGCAGATGTTGATGTAAATAAAAGCAACCCGAAAAAGCGATATAACCTCAGACAAATAGATTTTATGAATTCTAATTCAGCCATATACGCAATAAATTCGCTTATTAGAAAAATAGAGTTGTGTACTGAAACTCAAAGAGAAACAAGCATTCTGAAAGTATTGCATTAGCAATACTAGTCCCCTACCGGCAAGTGTTCCCGTTAAAAATTTCAAATGCCATAATTTCGTCAAAAATCAATAAAGCGGAACGAAATGCAAATTTGATTTAAAACACATCAAGGTAAAGGCACATAATAAAAATCAGCCCAATATCTGCAGGCGTTTAGACGAAAATTGCGGAAAACCCTGAAAAATTGAAAAGGTCGTAATTCCGTCAAAAATCATTGAAGCGGAACGAAATGCAAACTTGATCTGTAACTCATCAAGATACACTTACATACCAAAAATCAGCTCAACATCTGCAAGCGTTTAGAAAAAAGTGCGGAAAACCAAGTGGGACAGACTGACAGGCAGACAGAGGGACAGACAGACAGACAGACGGATGGACAGACTCAGAGGAAACCTATAGTCCCCTCCGGTTTCACCGGTAGGGGACTAATAAACGATATCTATGAAAATTTCTGTGATATAGTGATTAGTGAAATGATTGAATCAATACCTAACTATGATTGGTCAAGAAAATCCAAGAAAAAATTGCGTATTCATAAGCCATATTGGAACGACGAGCTAACAGAACTGTTGAAAACGATGAGAAATCATGAAAAACAGTTTTTGAAATGCAATTTAAAAGATCGCCATAAAAAGCGTGAATTACGGGAAAAATATAAATATGCTCAAAACGTCTTAGACAAACGTATTCGTTACTTTGAAAGAAAACATAACAGAACCTTAGCTCTAAATATTGAATCTGTGTGCTCAGATGATCCTCGGAAATTCTGGGA